AAGTAAATAATTATGTTACATAGTTACATTGCATGTTGATTATATGAAACAAGAATCTAAGGCTAGAGCTGAAAGTTCTGCTTGTCTTTTTGTCTGAACGATTTATCACTAAAAGTGAGTTTCGAAAGCAGTAAAAAAATAAAAAGGAAGAAGAAAGCAGTATTATAGGAATACTTTCCTTCTGGAGAGTACAAAAGCCTTAACTTCTCCAACTGTCAGTAATCCAAATATTCTAACATCACTTAACTTCAATCATGGAGATACTGAAACTACGGAAGGCCAAATATCTTCAAAGAACAGGAAATTTTTCATGTTTTTCATAGGACATGGACATTTCCAAATACTGCAGAGAATCTTATTGCCTACAGATGAAAATTTCTAATCAACTAAGAGCATTTAACTGCCCAAATGGAAGCTAAGAAATAATGGCTCTAATCAAGAGACAGATGGACTCACACTTAACCAGAACAAGGACTGCACATTTTCCTATTGTCTGATATGCTGCCTACAGGAGCAAACACCAGCATTCTCAACACCATTTTCTCATTGCCAGCCAACACTGAGACAAGCAAGTGCTGCATATCAGGGCCAGCTGATGCAAAGAGATGTCAACATTCTTTTGCCACCAGGGCTTTAAATACATAATGACTTTTTTTTTTTTTTTTTTTTTTTTTTAGCTCAGAATATAGAATGCAAACAAACACTTTTTCCCTTTCCAAATAAATCTCAGAAGAATTAGGGAGATATATCTACCTCGGGTAAAGGTCTTGTGGGTATCTTAATCAACTATGCTAAAGAAAGCACAGCAACGATAAAAAGATGCTGCCTAGTAAGTGAGGCTGGGATGGCAGAGATGAAGTACTGTACATCTGCTTATTAAACAAGCAGTACAGCTCATTGCATGCAATGAGAGAAGTGTGGTTTCTAGTATCACAAACAGAACACGACTGCAGCGTGCACAATCTTTAAACAGCATCCAGCAAAGTAAATTACATTCATAGAGGCAACTATGAATGTTTTTGAATTTTCTCTTTGCCACATTTATGTTTCTCATGCAGATTGCAAGCTGAGCTTTGAGGGCAGAAATTCTTTACAATATAACTAAACTTCACTTTTGTTCTCTACAGCACGTAAGGCTAGTCAAAAACAAGCTACGTCAGAGACACTACCCCCGTTTTACACTGAGAACTGAGTGTACAATAACTACTACAAACCTGAACTCTGTCTTGAAGCCAAGCCATTTGAACAGAGAACCACACTTAAATACTTTCTCATTGAAACCCATCTCTGTAAGGACAGTCCCAAGCTTTTGCTAACTTTCAGCGTGCACTCAGCAATATCCGTTTTCCAAAGCATGAGTAAGATTTGCAGGAAGCCATACTACAGGCATTATCTCACTAGCAGCTGAGATGGGTGGAGTGTTAATCACAAAGCACGTTCTAGAGCTCTCTCAGGCCTGAGTTCCACCACAATGGAGGAAACAGTTGTGTAATTAAGTAATTAGGCATTTTAACAGTGAGAAAAGTAAATTGATTTCACAGCCTGTGTATGCAGGTATATAACACAAGGTTATGGAGTAGGATATTCAACTCAAGAGCACTGGAAACAAAATGGCTGTTCTTGCATGGCATGCTGATAGTTCTGGTGGTAGGCTCTTACCAAGCTAAAAGAGATATTAGCTATTCACTGCCCCACCATCTGAGCATCAGGAACTGACTCATCTGGCTCAGGGGCATTAAAGGCCCCTCAGCAGTTTTGTCTGTGGCAGTCGAGTGTGACACCTTTCCCCAGAGACAGCTGTGGAAGAATCCAGAAGATGTATGAAGCAGCAGCATTCAGATCAAGCCTGGGTCAGACCTGGATCAGGCCAGAAAGCAAGCTCCATACATAGGATTTGGGGTAGGAGGAAGTTCTTCACACACTATCAATCCATTTTTGTATCAGAGTCTGAACTTTAATATTAGGAACAAGCTGGCTTTAATGTCAGGTAGTAACTGGTGCCAAAAAAATTCAAAATGTCATCTCCAAATGTCATTCTTGAAAATTATTTCTAGACAAAAATGTTTTGTATTTTTTAATGAAAAAATATTTGGTTGCAGCATAATCTATTCTTTCATTACCCTAAAGATTCCTTGCGCCTGGCTGCCATGTTGGCTGAGTTCATATGTAACTTCAGTTTAACAGAGTGGATTAAAAAACAGAAGTTAGCTGGAGCATACGTACTCCATCATTCCTTTCAAGCTCCACCATGGCTCCCGTGTTTTCCTGATGCCATAGAAGAGAGATGTTATTCATGACAGTTCTTGAAGTACCAAGGTAAAAAGTCCAAAACAACATGAAAAATCAGTTGCTTCAGTTGACCTTGCGTAGAGCAATACTAGCTGATTCATGAAGCTGTTATGCTCTGAGCTGTGCCTGGGCCACACTAACGGTGTGTCAGTGGCTGTGAGTCTGTGATCCAGGTGCTGTACTTTCAAACTCGTCTTCTGAATAAATAATCTATTTTTACTCACACTCTCAATTTACTTGCTCATTTCTTACTCCTTCGCATAAAAAGGAAAAAATCATCTGAGAGATGTCTAACATTTAAAACTTCTCGAATATAGTTCATACTTGCTAACAACAGATTCTATTATATAACACAGAAACTGTGTTTTGGCTTTCTACTCTTTTACATTTTTGTTTCCAGGAAATGAAAATGACTTCTGTTTAAAGAGTCAAAGGTCATTCCTAAATGAACAAGGAAGGAAATAAACCAATTGCTTTTTTCTAGTCTTTTGAAACTATTTTCACAATTCTAGTCACCGAGTTACAATACTTGATCAAATTGATCTCTGCCAGGATAAAGCAATCTCCCTCTTTCACATCTGTCAAGCTGAAAAAAGGAAAAAAAAAAATCCCAAACTGCTCCTTCCTATAGCCTTATCTGTCTTCTCTGATTCTGCAGAAAACAGCTTCCTCTTTCAAACGCCATGCTATCTGAGATTATCCCCACAAGAGTAAACCAGTGAATGGGCTCCTGCATTTCACAAGACCCTGTTGCTAATATCAAATATAACCGACCACATTACTGTAAGAGCTGCAGTACAGAGCTTTGATTGAGATCAAACAACATTCCTCCAATTTACCCTCTATGCACAGCCAACAGTTCGCCACTCAAAGCAACACTGATCAGGTATCAATGTATTTCCAAGAGACTTCCACAACCAGTACTCAGCTTGACTCAGCAAAGCTGTCAATGTCCATGGGAAACTGCTATCGGCTAGATGTTTCAGCCAAGCTTAAACTGTCTGCACCTATTCTATGATGGTCAAGGTCTCCTATGATTTGTAACAGTGAACACTTCAGGTGACATCTATCTTTATCTAATATCAAGGCAAATGCAGTCCCCATCTATCTTGTCACTTCAGTGGCAAAGAAGAGCAGATAGTGACTGTTGGAAAAAAGGCATTAGGCCAGGTACCTGCAACTAGAAATTCATCACAGTTCTTAATGACAAAATCAGACCCATGTCAATGTTTAAAAACACACAAAACACAGTAAGTACACAGTGCACACGTTGACATATTTATATTAAAATGTTACAATACAGGGATACATACTCACTAAATATGCCCCCCAAAATAACAGATTTTGACAAAGTTAAATTTCTGAATCAGTCTGTCTTATAACTAATACCTTCTCTTTAAGGATCATATGAATACCCTTGTCTGGCAGAAGCGGAGTCAGAGCCAGATGATTGACATTAAGTTCTATGCCTTCTTAGAAGCTTAAGCCCCAAATTCTTTATTTGCAGAACAGTTCTTGATACCTCTTTCCAAGATGCTCTACGACTTAAGAGCAGCACATCCTTATTCACATTTCTGTCCTGAATCATAATGGTAGCATCAGAAGGTCAGCCTCATGTTGTCATTTTTTTGTTTATGCACAGGCACTCTCAGCAATGTGTTGAGACCTGAAGCTTTCTCCCAGGTACTCCTAGGTTTTCCTACTGCACTGTAGGCACAGTGCATGGTGTATCTCTTATGCTGAGCAGGACTTCCTCATTTAATGTACAGTTTTCTGTCTAAAATTGTTACTAAACACGCCATGAGAGCTGAGGTATCATACCCCGTCCTCGCACTCAGCCTCTACTCCTTTCCAGACATTTTTTTCTTTGGCAAATGATGTAAACCATGGCACAAGACTTCACTATTAGGAACTTCTCCATTAACATTAGCCATGCTGTTTCCAAGAGCTCCAGGACCTCTTCCTATAAAATTCAGTTTTTCAAAAGAGGCTGTTTTGGTCTTGAGGATGAGGAAGCAAAAGTGCCTTCTTTGTACACACAGAAATCCCCAAAACCCAATGCATTGTAAAAATGGTTTCAGCAATCTTAGATTAAGCTAATTTCTCTAATAAAGATTTGTTCCACACATTTCTTTTCAGTCTCATTCTGAATCTTCACAATTATTTGTTTTCTTTTCACACTAAATGGTGACATTCCAAGAATCAGCAATTAAATTCAGTAGAACAGATTGGTTCCCAATGGTTAAATTCCTCAGGTAACTGAACCTCTCTTTCTAGTTGAGTTTCCTGTGAGTAGTGGCAGCCAAATATAAAAAGTTGAGTAGATTGGTGCCATTTCAACCATCAACACAAATAAAGCCTCCAAAGTAATATAGACTTTATTTCTCAGAAGCACAGTGAATGATGACACTCCCCATAAACAGCAAATGCAAGCTTGGAGAGCACATAAAGAAGCCTGTAGCATTTGGAATAATGTGGGCATTTAACAGAAGATGAGAAAAACAGTTTTCACCTCACTCCTTCACTCTCTATTTCAATATTCCAGTGCTTCTCATTATGAAAGGTGTGTTTAATCAGGTACAGAGATCCAGGAACAGCGCACAAAATAGAAAGCTCATTGTGCCAGAGTAATCACCTGGCTTTAACCTGGGTGTTCAGGGGACTGGTTACAAATCAGCTGAAAACAGCAGTTCTCTGTTGAGCACTGTAAGTCACTCAGTGCGTTCTGAAAGCCAGATCCCTACCTTGTCTCGAATCCCCTGTCTCATAACTTCTCTTTCAGCCTCCATCTTGGCATACTTGGCTTTCCTCTCCTCCTCTTCTTGTCTGAGGGCTTCCTGTCGCTCCTCTTCTTTCTTGGCAGCATCAGGGTCTTTCTCCTCATCCCCACCCAGCATCTTTCCCATGTCCTTGGTAGCCCCTAGAGAAAGCACAAGAGGAAGACAACCTTGTAAAAATGTAGGAAAACCAATATGATGCCATGTCTCCGCATTTCTCCCACTCAAGAGGGTTTAGACTGGAAAGAGACTCGTGAAATCCTTTCAAATAATACTTCATTGGCATTCTTAGAGGTTAAATGTGGGGAAGACATTTTCACAGGCTCTACAAGTTACTCTTTCCAGAGTGGAGAGAGTGGAATATTGGTTCTTGCAGGTAGACACATCTGCAGTATGTCAGGGTAACAATTCCTGATGATCAATGTCTCTAACAGTCACCAAAGAATTTGTGAAGATGTGAGCTTTTGCATGGCTTTTCTCCCTTTTTATTCCACCTGCATTTCTTTTCCCAAAGCACTTCTTTTCCCAGAGCTCTAAACTGAAAGCAACCCAGAACTGAAAGCAGCTCTCCAGTGCCTCCAAAATGTGAAAGAGAAAGGGTGCCTTTACATACTCGATAGAGGAGCATGGGAAAGCTGATCATTTTATGCCTAACAACATCTAGCATCTATAAATGGCTTTTAGACATGTGGGAAATAATAAATATGTCTGCCTCCATTCAGCTAAGCTAATCGCAAGTCTCTAGATACTTCCACACTGTTAGGAAAACTGTGGAGTAAAAGAAGACACTCAGAGATCCACCCCACAAAAAAATCAGCTGAAATATTTGTGCTCCCTCGCTACCATCAGCCTGTGTCTACTATCATTTTGCCTCCTCGGCATTTTGGGAACAAATTCACTCAGCCTCATCAATATTTTCTTACCTTGGATGCAAGAAAGGCTAACTGAAATTATAAGCAAGACATGCTAGAATTCGATAGAAAGCAGAAAAGCAGTGCAGTCTAGCTGTGTCATACATTCCTACAGCAGATAAATCACTAAGGAGGTTTTTCTGTGTACAAATAACTGATGACCATTAATTTCTGGATTCCTCTCAATAAAATATTATTTATAAATAAATAAATTTCTGCTGATTGTTAAACTCCTTTGGGTTCAGTATTCTATCAAGCTTATCTCTTTTACTTTCTTTCCACTTAGAGCAACCCAGACAGTATAATATGCTAGTTACTTAAGAACCAGATTTCAACAGCAGAAAGAGATGATTTTTTTTGCCCTTTAAGCACTCTTCCAGGTTATCATTAAGTTATAATGTCACCTCTGTTCATCATCCAAAGAATGAAATTGCAGACTTTTTTTTTTTTTCTCTCTCAGACAAGACCAAGATTTTGAATATGTTAAGCATTTGATTTTACAGCTATTCAACACATAAAACACCTACTGGAGCAAGAATAAACTCCAAGATCTTCACAGACTCTCTCAATTCACCACATATTTCAAAGGCACATTCTAAATGGGTACAATGCTGCTTTGTGGTACCACTGTTAGTGAACTGGAAGAAAACGTATTATGAGAAACAAGACGTTACAGTACATTTTAATTCCAATCTCCTGCATAACTTTTGCTGTAGAAAATCTTTTCTAAATTCCTTTGTCTTCCTAAACATTGGGCTTTACTATTAGCATCCCCTAGATAGCAGCTTCTGCTGACCAGTGGGGCTCCAGAGAATTTATGTGCATACAGCTAGAACAGTACAATTACAGGAGCAAGCTGCAAGAGGGAGCAGAACTTCTGTCCTCATGTCTTCTGAAGCTTCCGACGTAACGCAGAAGAAGGAAACACTGAATCTGTTCATATGATAAGCTAGCGTCTTTTTTGTCTTCTTTCCCATCCCAATCATAACATCTAATTTGACATAAAGATAAGACAGAGAATGCCAAAGTGATCACTAATCAGTGAGGAGCTTGAAATCAGCATATTTCCAGTACCCCTAGGTAAGCCCACAGGATGAACCCAGAAGTGGCTAAAGCTCCAGAACATGTTTTTGATCCTTACTTTTTAAGAGATATAAAACAAGGGCAAACTGTCATTTTTCTGGCTGTAGAGAACAATGCATCCAGCAAAGCACATCAACAACGTTCTGGGCTGCATTAGAAAGAGCACTGCCAGCTGACTACAGGAGCTTATTCTTCCCTCTACTCAGCCTTCCCCCTTACTCAGCCCTCTACACCTTATCTGGAGTGCTGTGCCAAGCTTTGAGCTCTCTCCAATACAAAACAGATGGAGAGCTACTGGAGTGATCCAGCTAAGGGTCAATTGGACGATTAAGGGGCTGAAGTATCTCTTATACGAAGAGAGATTGAGAGAGCTGGAACTGTTCAGCGCAGAACAAAGAAGGGTCAGGGGCCCAGGGAGTGTCTCAGTAGTATGCATAAACAGTTAGTGAAAGGGAATGAAGAAGGAGCCAGGCCACTCCATGGCGCCCAGGACAAGAGGAAAAGGGCACAAACTGAAACACAGCAAATCCCATTTAATCATAAGAAAAGTAGTTTTTTTTTTTTAAAAGGATGCACAGAGAGGAAGCAGAGTCTCCCTCTGCAGAGATGTTCAGAATTTTACAGGACTGTTCTATGCCACTTCCTGAGAAGGGGATTAGATTAAACAATCTCAGTGGGTCCCCACAGACATCAGTGCTGTGGTTCTGTCAGATCTCACAAGTACAAATGTTAAATGAAAGTGCATTTTGCAAGGGCAAGGTTGCAGAGCACATATCCAAACAGATCCTACATCTGAATTGATGGAAAGTAAATTCTTAGACATCCTGACCTCAGGCATAGGAGCACCATCTCCTAAGATCCTTCAGTAGTTTTTAGTGAGGTACTAAAATCTCACGGACACCAATCAAGTTTTTACACAGGAAAATGAAACACAAAATCAACCAGTGGAACCAGTGCTCAATTTGTTACTGGTTCAAAAAGAAAAAGAATTATTGAAAAAAATTCTCCAAAATATTGTCATGTAAAGCTCTTTTCTGCAAAAGTGTACAGAAGAGCATTTCTAAGGATGACTTGCAGAGAAAGATTAATAGGAGCACCCTGGGCATTCTTAATCAAGCAAAGAATGATGGAAATTTCCACTTGCTTCAGGTAAGGTAATTAAGTCAAATCAGCAGAACAACTTTAACATGAAACTCATTCCATAATGCAGATAAATAGCACCTCATGCCTGTCTTCAAGAGGGCTGCATAAATATGTGTGTTTAGATCTCAGAGGATGTTACGGAAATTCCCCTTCTAAATCACAGGTGTCAGAGGCAGCAGTGTGAGGGTTATTTGAAACATTAATGCCCTGAGGAAATTCTGCAGGTAAAAAGTTTTGTATATAGGCCAGAAAAACGGCTTTAAAAATACATTTCTCTCTTAAACATTCAATAACTACTATCAAAATAGCCTCCCTTTTAGAACTTATACTTTGAAAAGAGTAAAAGATGGCAACTCATTTTGCCCTGCCTTACATGACAGGAAGCCCAGGAGATGGATGTTTTGGTACTACTATTTGTGGCTAAGCCATATTTAGACTGAACAGATAGGGAAACTGACGTTTCAGGGTTTTTAAAACAGCAGCATGACTTTCATGCTATTATCTAAACACCTGCAGCTAATCACACTGGAAAAGGAATGGGCCACTCGTTTTGCAGCATCACTTCAGAACCAGAACTAACATCATACTATTGATACTGCTGGGGAGAAACTTTTTATTATCTTGGCCACAGTGCACATATTAGTTCATAGCTGGTTTAGTAGTTGACCTCTACCATTTTACTTACTGTTACGGTGCTAAAAAAAAAGGCGAATTTGCTATTAATAAAAAAACCTTGTAGCAAATACTGCAGGATTCTTTCATCTGCCTAGAAATCAAGACACTTAATCACTACTTTGGCAGGAAAGTTTGGACTAAGATTTATCTGGAGTCTTCAATAAACAAAGTACTTTCATATGCAAATATTTATTGCAATGTGAATCATATCCAAAGGAATCAGTTCTTATCCAAATGTTCCTGGCCAAACCTCTTTCATGTTACAGAGGTACCTGCAGATTACTCCTTCTGGCTAATGTGATACAAGCTTGGTCTTCCATTGCAGCCAAAGTACACATCAGTATGTGAGACTCTTTCAGACAAAATACAAGCTGTGCTTCTGCTTTCCCACTCCCTCATCTAAATATCAAACTGCATCTCCAACCTGTTTACTTTTCTCTAGCAAATTAATTGTATGTTAAGTGTAAAATGAGCTAGATATATTGAAAGAGCATGTATCATAACCAGGGCAAAATCCCAACAGGGATGGCTAAATTCAGATTTGGGCTCACAGATATTTCAGTGTTTGATGGCTATCTGGCTTCCCATTACACCGAGTGGAAGCCCACTATGACCTTCAATTCATAGTGATTCAGTTCTATGTCTACAGTTTTATCAGTGACATTTCCTACAGTGCCTGAAGCACAACCAACAGAGTCCAAGGTCACATTAGGCTCCAGGCAAGGCACACACCCATCTTTGGTGAGCTTACATACCTATCTCAGACATCTATACCTCACGTAGACTCCTTGCCTTGTCTTACACTGCAAGCTCCACGTTAGCTATTCTGATCTAGTAAAGTCATCTGATCAGCAAGGTAATGTCCAAATTTATCTTGATTTGAGACAGAGTATAAGACCCAAACTAATTTACAGGTGCAGAAGGCAAAAAGTAGACTGTGTGAATTGCTTTTCAAGATCTCTACCCAGGCAGATCTGTGCTCTTTTCTGGGTTTTCCCCTAAGACTTATAATTTATATATAATTATAATACGAGCTTTTCAGACATAACTAGCTTTTCAGACATGCTACATCTCCCCTTTTTCATCTCTTCATCATTAAAGCAGCAATGATAGTAGATGCCAACATTGCTCAAGGACTCTGTGTTTTCCTGAAATACATGATGTAAAAAAGCTGACAATTTCTTCTTTCTTTGAGTCCACCTCAACGAGGAGATGCCTATTCCAATGTAGAGTTTGTTATAACTCAACATACAGTTATCAAAGTTGTCATGAGCAACAGAGATTACAAACTACATAATCTAAAATCACCGTATTAAGCCCAACAGAAACTC